TAGTCCAATAATTTTTAAGTTCTCTCTCCTGGATCTATTTTCCAGGTCAGTTGTTTTTCCAATGAAATATTTCACATTCTCTTCTATTTTTTCATTCCTTTGGATTAGTGTTACAGTGCCTTGATTTCTCAAATTGTCCCTGTCTTCCATTTTCTCCATTCTAATTTTTAAGGAAGTATTTTCTTCAGTAAGCTTTTGGACTTCCTTTTCCATTTGACTAATTTTGCTTTTAAGGGCATTCTTCTCATTGGCTTTTTGGACCTCTTTTGCCATTTGGGTTAGGCTATTTTTTAAGATGTTATTTTCTTCAGTATTTTTTGGGGTCTCCTTTAGCATCACTCTCAGTTTTTCCTCTACTTCTCTTACTTGCTTCTCAAAATCCTTTTTGAGCTCTTTCATGGCCTGGGACCAATTCATATTTTTCTTGGAGGCTTTGGATGTAGGAGCTTTGGCTTTGCTGTCTTCTTCTGGTTGTATGTTTTGATCTTCTTTGTCATCAAGGTAAGATAATATAGTCTGACTCTTTTTGCGCTGCTTGCTCATGATCCCAGCCAATTACTGGAGTTAAGGTAGGAGTCTGTTTCCAGTGTGGAGAATGTACTGTCCCAGGCTTCAGGAGTTTTGTGCAGCTGTGTTCAGAGACACTTCTAGAGACCTGTAAATTTTCAGTTCTTCCAAGGTACTATGATCAAGGGCGAGGTGTTTACTCCTTTCCTGGTCTGTGCTCTGGTCTATGAGCACTCTTTTCTGTCTTGGAACTGTGAGGAGGGTTTCCTCTCCACAGTCACTACAAGCTCCACCACGCTAGCGCTCCTCCTCGCCCCAGGACCACTACCCAGAATTGTGACCCAGATCCAAACATGGGCAAAGCAAGGGAATTCTGCAGCAGCAGAGAGATCCCTGCAATCCCCCTCTGATTAGCTACTCAATTCCCCCTTAGTCTGTGAGCCGGAAGCTCAGGAGGCAGCCGCTTACCCCGCTGAGCTCGGGGAGTGGAGCTGAGACCATCGGCTTCTCTCTCTCCCTGCTGACACAGACTTTTTCCACTGACCTTCCAAGTTGTCTTTGGCGTTCATGGGTTGAGAAGTCTGGAAACCTCCACAGCTGCCCGTGATTCAGTCCTCTGAGGCCTGCTCCAGTGTGGCTGGGGACGTGCACCCATGCCAAACTGCATTCCTCTCCCTGCCTGGCACGATATACCTTTCCAATCAACCATCTAGGCTGTCTTGTGCTAGAAATTTGTTTTGCTCTGTCTTTTTGTGGGTTCTGCTGCTTTAGAATTTGTTTAGAGCCATTTTTATAGGTATTTGGAGGGGTTTGGGGGAGAACTCAAGCAAGTCGCTGCTTTTACTCTGCTATCTTGGCTCCACCTCCTCCCGACTCCTAAAAAATTATTTTCAAAAGCAGCTAAGAGTGGTAGAGGAAAAAAATCAGTTAAGAAACAAAAGCAAAGGAAGAAAATTATGAAAAGACAATGAACTGCTTGGTAAAAGAGGCAAAGAAAATACTGAAGAAAATAACAACTTAAACATAATTGGCCAAATAGAAAAAGAAGTACAAAAGCTCACTAAAGAAATTAGATTTGGGCCAGTGGAAACTAATGACTCCATGAGACATGAAGAAACAATAAAAGTCAAAAGAATGAAAAAATAGAATAAAACATGAAATATCTCATCAAAATATAATTGACCTGGAAAACAGATCAAGGAAAGATATTTTAAGAATTATTGGATTACCTGAATGCCATGATCAAAGAAAGAACCTAGACATCATATTTCAAAAAATTGAAAGAACCCACTGATTACTACCTGAAGGAGACCCCAAAATAAAAACTCCCAGGAATATTACAGCCAAATCCCAGAGCTCCCAGGTCAAAGACAAAATACTTCAAGCAGCCAGGAAAAAAAAAACTATCCAAATAGTGTGGAAACATAGTCAGGATCACACAAGATTTAGTAGCTATTATATTAAAGGACCAGAGAGCTTAGAACATGATATTCTGGAAGGCAAAAGAGCTACGATGATTACAGCCAAGAATAGATGACCCAGCACAACTGAGTATGATCCTTCAAGGGAAAAAATGGGTATTTAATGAAATAGAGGCCTTTTGAGTATTCCTGAGGAAAAGATCAGAGCTGAATAGAAAATTTGACTTTCAAACACAAGACTCAAGAAAAACATAAAAAGGTAAACATGAAGAAGAAATCACAAGAGATTCAATAAGGTTAAACTGTTTACCTTTCTGTATAGGAAGAGGACTCACATATCTTCTAAAAACTTTATAATTATTAGGGCAGTTATAGGATTCTACATGGAAAGGGAGTGTGGGAGGGAATTGATTATGTTGGGATGATGTAAAAAAATGGATAAGTGAGAAAGAAGGATTCCCTGAGAAAAGGGTGAAAAGAGAGAAATTATCTCACATAAAAGAGACATGTAAGGAAGAGCTTTTACAGTGAAGAAGAAAATAGTGGGGAGGCAGTGCGGGAAATGCTTGAACCACACTCAAAACTAAATTGATTCAGAGAGGTAAAATGTGTGTGTGTGACACACACACACACACACACACATATATATATATATATATACACACACACACTCAATTGGTAATAGAAATATATCTTACCCAACGTTACCCAGCAAAGAATTAGGAGGGAAAAGAGATAAGAGAAATGGGGGGGAGGTGATAAACAGAAGGGCAGATAAAAGAGGGCAGTGGTCAGAAGCAAAGCAGACTTCTGAGGAGAAACAGGACACAAAGAGAGAAAACAATAGCCAGAAGAAAATAGGATAGAGGGAAATACAGAGTTAGTAATCATGATTGTGAATATGAATGGGATGGATTCACCCATAAAACAGAAATGGAGAGCAGAATGAAAACCAGAATCCAACAATATGTTGTTTATAAGAAGCACAGTTGAAACAAGAGAGATACAGAGAGTTTAAAAAGGGGCTGGAGCAGAACCTATTATGTTTAGCTGATGTAAAAAAGGCAGGGGTAGCAATCATGATTTCAGACAAAGCAAAAGCAAAAATAGATATAATTAAAAGGGATAGACAGGGAAACTACATATTGCTAAAATGAGTCATAGACAATGAAGTAATACCAATACTAAATGTATATGCACCAAATAGCATAGCATCCTAATTCTTAAAGGAAAAGTTAAATGAATTACAGGAGGAAATAGACAGTAAAACTATACTAGTGGGGGACCTCAACTTTCCTCTCTCAGAGCTAGATAAATTTAACCACAAAATAAATAAGAAAGAAGTTAAGGAGATGAATAGAATCTTAGAAAAGTTAGAGATGACAGACCTCTGGAGAAAACTGAATGAGAACAGAGAGGATTATACCTTTTTTTCAGCTGTCCATGGCACCTTCACAATAACTAACTATGTATTATACACAAAAAATAAAAGAAAGAGCAGAACAATGAATTGGGTGTGAAACTAACCAACAAAATAAAACACCAAAATGGAAATCCTGAAACTCAAAGGAGAGGTTAACATAATTAAAAATGAAAAAAAAAACCTAATAAATAAAACTAGGAGCTGGATTTATGAAAAAAAAACACAATAAAATAGATGAACCATTGGTTAGTCTGATTTTAAAAAAAAGAAAGAAAACCAAATTACCAATATCAAAAATGAAAAGGGTGAATGCACCAACAATGATAACATTAAAGTAATTATCAGGAGTCATTTTGCCCAATTATATTCCAGTAAAACTGACAATCTAAATGAAATAGATGAACATTTGCAAAAATATAAAATGCCCAGATTAACAGAAGAGGAAATAGAATAATTAAATAACTCTATCTTAGAAAAAGAAATTGAATAAGTTGTCAGAGAGCTCCCTAAGAAAAAATCCCCAGGACCAGATGGATTGATAAATGAATTCTACCAAACATTGGAGGAGCAATTAATCCCAATACCATAATAAACTATTTGAAAAAATAGGTTAAGAAATAGTCCTACCAAATTCCTTTTATGACACAAATATGGTTTTGATACCTAAATCAGGGAGAGCAAAAACAGAGAAAGAAAATTATAGACCTATTTCCTTAATGGCTATCTATGTAAAAAATTTAAATAAAATACTAGCAAGGAGATTACAGAAATATATCACAAAGATCACACAACTCTGGTAAGGTATGATTTATACCAGGAACACAGAGCTGATTCAATACTAGGAAAATTATCAGCATAACTGACCATATCAATAACAAAAACACTGTGTAGGAAATTATCAAAGCAATAATCAACATATGAATCAGCAAAACAGATATAACAATCTAGTCTGACAGATTATATAATATACTACACCCATAGTCCCCAAATTCTATTCACAATTTTGCAGTTAAAGTCTGTATTGGTCTCCCAGTCCTTCTCACTTCACACTGCATCAATATATTTGCCTCCTTACGCCTTTTCAAGTTCTTCATATTCACATTCATTGTTTCTTCTATTACATTTATATATCACACTTAGTTTAGCCATTTTTCATTCGGTGGACAGCAACTTTGTTTCTAGTTCTTTGCTAGTTAGTCAAAAACATTCTTTAAGCTTTATTTTGTTTAATTTCTTTTTTTGTTTTGTATGGCAATGGGGTTAAGTGACTTGCCCAGGGTCACACAGCTAATAAATGTTATGTGTCTGAGGCCAGATTTGAACTCAGATCCTCCTGACTACAAGACCATAGCTCTATCCACTGCGCCATCTAGCTGCCCCCCCAAAAAAAAATTGATTAAGAGCCTACTATATAGTGAGAGGATTCTGGGAAGATGGCAGAATAGGTCAGGAAACTTTGGGCTCTCCAAATTTCCTCCACAGAAAAAAGACAGAACATCACCTCAGAGGGAATATAGAGCAGCAGAAACAAACAAAAGTCAGGGTAAAGCAATTGTTTTCCTAAGACAGATCTCCTCAGAAGATCCCAGGAAAAGATCCCGCTTCTAGGGGTAGAGGTTCAGCCTGAGTTAAGTGTCCACTCTGCAGAATCAACAAACAACAAGCCCTGGGGGCAGCAGCTGGTGTTGGGAGGCAGCCTCAGCCTTCGAAACTTTCATTTCACTGACAGTGGATAGTGTGGGGATCTGATGCCGAGTAAGAGACTGAAGGACCTTCCACTGCCAAGGGACATCAAGCACAGCTGTGCTGACCAGATGCAACTGCTGTGGGGCAGAAGGAGCTAGCACACACCTGCTGAGTGCAGTAGCAGAGGGGCGGAGACCCAGCTGACTGTGGGCACTTGCAGGAGAGCAGAGTCCCTGGTTTCAGTCCCAGGGCAGACAGAGAGTTTGTAGTCACCAGAGGGACCACAGGGAGCAAGATCATTTGCAGGATGGTGTGGCTGGGGGCCCTAGCTAGGGCTTGGGAGTGGAAAGGAGAGCCCAAGGTTGAACCCCAGGACAGACCTCAGAAAATAAGAGTAAGAAAGACCTGAGGCTTGGGACATCATTTCCCATACCTCGGGACTAAAACTCATTTTCACTAATAGCTGTTAAAAACAAAATAAAGCAAAAATAAATAAATAAAAATGAATAGGCAAAGGAGAAAGAACCCAACCATAGATAGTTACTATGGGGATAGAGAAGATCTGGGTTCATATTCAGAGGAAGATAATGCAGCTAAAAAAGTCACTCCAATTTCAGTGACAAATGTCAAATGGTCCCAAGTATAAAAAGAGTTCTTGGAAGAACTTAAAAAGGACTTTAAAAATCAAATAAGAGAGATTGAGGAAAAATTAGGGAAAAAATGAGAGCAATGCAACAAAATCAAGAAAATTATGAAAAGAAGGTCAACCAACTTGAAATAGAGAATCAAAAACTTAAGGAAGAAAATAATTCCTTGAAAACTAGAATTGGGCAAAGGAAAGCCAATGATGTTCTAAGACAACAAGAAATAATAAAACAAAATCAAAAGAATAAAAAAAAGAAGAGAATGTGAAACATCTCATCAGAAAAACAACTGATCTGGAGAATAGATTGGGGAGACATAATATAAGAATAGTCAGACTATCTGAAAAGTAGGATTAAAAAAAAGAATCTTGATAGAATAGTACAAAAAATTATCAAGAAAAATTGCCCTGGAATTCTAGAACAAGAAGGCAAAGCAAAAATAGAAAAAAAAAATCCACTGATCATCACCTGAAAAAGATCTGAGGAGAAAAACTTACAGGAATATCATAGCCAAGTTTCAAAGCTCCCAGGTTTAGGAGAAAATATTGGAAGCAACAAGGAAAAAAAAAACAATTTAAATATCATGGAGCTATAATGAAGATTGCACAAGACCTAGCAGCTACTACTTTGAAGGACCCTAGCTAGGTCCTGGAATACTGTATTTCATAGAGCAAAAGAGCTGGGGTTAAGACCAAGGGTAACTTAGTCAGCAAAGTTAAGTACAATCCTAAATGAAAAAAAAGGCTATTTAATGAACTGAAAGACTTTCAAGTATTTGTGACAAAAACAGCAGAACTCAAGGGAAAATATGACATATAACATCCAGGAGAAATATAAGATAAACATTAAAGACAAATTATGAGGGACTCAATAAGGTCAAATTGTTTACTTCTTTTTTTGTGAAAATATTATCAGTACTTTTATGACTGTCACTATTATTTGGGTAGTTTGAAAGAAAGGCTTGGGCTGAGCTGAGTATGATGGGGTGATTCTAAAAAAAAATAAAACTGTAGGGAGAGATAAAAAGGAGTAATTAACTCATACAAATGAGGCATAAAAGGAAAATTTGATACAGAAGAAGTTGGTAGAGGGGAGGGCAGGTAGTCCTGGAACTTTACTCTCATTGGGAATGGTTTAAAGAGGGAAATATACACATACACATATATACAGATACATATGTGTGTATACATATATACACATATACATGTGTGTACATATATATACATATATACATGTGTATGTATGTATATATATATATACATATATGGGTATAAAAGTCTTCTAAATTCGAAAAGAAATAAGAGGACAAGGGGATAGGGTGGGAGAGAGGATAAAAGGGGGCTCTTGGAGGGATGGGTAGGTTAAAGAATAGGAGGGCAAGGTAGTGGGTAGAAGCAAAGCAGAAGATTAAAGAGGGATAGAAATAGGGTGAGAAAGATAGTGAGGAAAAATAGGAAGGAAGAAAATACCCAAGCTTAGAATGTGAATCTGATTAATTTACCCACAGAATGGAAATTGTGAGCAGATTAAAAATTTGAATTCAACAATATGTTGCTTTCAGGAAATGTTGTAAAAATGGGAGATATACATGAAGATAAAATAAAGGTCAGGAATAGAATTATAAGAGAAAAATAGAGAAACTATGCTAATGTTTCAGCAATATTGTTCAATATTGTTTTAGACCATTTAAAATAACTAGACAGTATAAAATACCTGAGAGTATACCTGTCAAAACAGACACAGGAACTATATAAATATAAACATAAAATACTTTTTTATACAAATAAAGTCAGATCTAAATAATTGAAGTAATATTTATTGTTGATGGGTAGGTAAAGCCAATATAATAAAAAAACCCAACAATTTTACCTAACTAATCTATTTGTTCAAAGCCATCCCAATTAAATTACTAAAGAAATGATCTTACTGAGTTAGAAAAAATAATAACAAAGTTCATTTGGAAGAACAAAAGATCAAGAACTTCAAAGAAACCAGGGAAAAAAGATGAAAAGGAAGCAGACTAAGCAGTATCAGATCTTAAACTAGATTATAAGACAAGAACACTGTTGAAGTATAAAATGGATAATTTTGATTATTTTTAATTAAAATTTTCTTGTATAAACTTATGCAGCCAAGAATAAAATGAATGCAGAACATTGGAGAAAAACTTTCATAGATATGTCTCAGATAGGATGTGATTATGTTGGAATACTGCTGTGATGTAGAAAATAATGAGGGGGTTGATTTAGAAAAACATGGAAAGACTTGGACTATCTACCTTCTACCATCTACGCTTACTATCCACCTTCAGAGAAAAAGATGACAAGTGGAAATAAGCATAGTATGGCTTTACATGCATGTGTATGAATGTATATATGTATATATGTTTAAAGATATCTAAATATATGTGTGTACATACATACATACATATATATATACATAGATAGACAGATATGCATCTGTGCTTAATTGTAACCTTCTTTAAGGCTGGGGGGAGGGAGGGGAAAAATAAAGTAAAAAGTGCACAGCCAAGAAAAAAAGAAAACATACAAGGAAGCAAAGAAAAGCTGGGCAGCATTGGAAACAATGTGTACTATTTATTATATAGGTTTTATTGAAATGGAAATTTATTGTTTTACATTGAATTCTCTCTTATGTTCTGCTGTGTACATGGCATTTTTTTCTTTTCACATTTTGTATTTTTGTTTAAAATAAATTTTAAAATTTACCAAAAAAGACAGTGCTGTGAACCTTAAAACATCATAAATTTTTTTAAATAAAGAAGAATAAAAGCTCAAAAAAAAAAAGAGCCTACCATATGTCAGGCACTTTGCTAAGCATTGGAGATACAAAAAGAGGCAAAAAAAACCGTCCCTGCTCACACTCACTAATGGTGGAGATAGCAAGCAAACAAATACATACAAATAAGCTATATACAGAACAAATAGGAAATAATTACAAGAAAGAAGATACTAGAGTTAAGAGGGGTTGAGAAAGGTTCTTTGTAGTACATGGAATTTTAATTGGGACTTCAAGAATGCTGGGGAAGGCAAGAGGCTGGGATGAGGAGGGAGGACATTCCAGGAATGAGAGATAGCCAGAGGAAAACATTCATAGCAAAGGAATGGAGTGTCTTATTCATGGAACAGCAAGGAGGATAGTGTCACTGAATCCAAGAACACGTGGCAGGAAATAAGATGTAAGAAGAGTGGAAAGGTAGGAGGGGCCTATGTTATGAAGGGCTTTGAAGATTTTGTATTTGATACTTCAGGTGATAGGGAGCCACTGGAATTTACTGAGTGTGGGTATTGGGAATGGGGATGGGAGTGACATTGTTGGACTTGTACTTTAGGAAAATCACTCTGCTGGCTGAATGGAGGATGGATTGGATTGAGGAAAGGCAGACCCACCAAGAGGCTATTTCAATAGTCCAGTCATGAGGTTATGAGGGCCTGCATCAGAGTGATGGTAGTGTCAATGGAGAGAAGGGGCATGTCCGAGAGATGTTACAAAGGTGAAATCAGCAGGCCCTGGCAACATGCATTCCTATTAAAAACAGTAGGAAACACAGGAATCAACGGAGCCTTTCGGACCATGATAAGTAGTATCTACCTAAAACCAAGAGCAAGCATTATCTGTAACTAGGGTAAACTTGAAGCCTTCCCAAAAAGATCAGGGATGAAGCAAGGATCTGCATTATTTCCACTATTATTCATTATTGTATTAGAAATGCTAACTATAGTGATAAGACAAGAAAAAGATTGAAAGAATAAAAATAGGCAATGAGGAAACAGAACTATCTCTCTTTGCAGATGATATGATGGTATACTTAGAGAACTATAGAGAATCAACTAAAAAACTAGTTGAAATAGTAACTTCGGCAAAATTGTAAGATATAAAATAAACTTACATAAATCATCAGCTTTCCTATATATTACCAACAAAACCTAGCAGACAGTACAAAATAACTTAGGAGTCTAGCTGCTGAGACAAACTCAGAGATTATATGAATACAATTACAAACACTTCACACAAATAAAGAAAGATCTAAACAACTGGAGAAATATTAATTGCTCATGAGAAGGGCAAGCCAATATAAAAATATTGCCATGCCAATCAAATTACCAAAGAATTATTTTATAGAGCTAGAAAAAATAGCAAAATTCATCTGAAATAACAAAAAGGTCGAGAATATCAATGAAAAAATGTTAAGGAAGGCAGCCTAACAGTTCCAGATTTCAAACTATATTACAAAGCAGCAATCTGGTACTGGCTAAGAAACAGAGTGGTGGACCAGTGGAATAGATTAGGTACACAATGCACAGTAGCAAATGACCATAGTAATCTAGTGTTTGAGAAACCCAAAGATCCAAGCTTTGGAAGTAAGAACTCACCATTTGACAAAAATTATTGGGAAAATTGGAAAGCAGTTTGGCAGAAACTAGGCATAGATCACCATCTCACATCATATACTAAGATAAGGTTAAAATGGTTAAATGATTTAGAAATAAAGGGTGATATCATAAGTAAATTAGGGGAGTGTGGAAAAAATGTACCTGT